AAAAAAAAAAAAAAAAAAAAAAAAAAAAAAAAAAAAAAAAAAAAAAAAAAAAAAAAAAAAAAAAAAAAAAAAAAAAAAAAAAAAAAAAAAAAAAAAAATATATATATATATATATATATATATATATATATATATATATATATATATATATATACATACTTTAAATTTGTTTTTAATATTCTAATTACCGTTTTTTCTTACTGAAGTGAATATTTTAACTGTTTTGTTAAAATCTCCTTGCTCAACCTTAATTAATATCCCTAACTTGGAACATTACTCGAATATTTTGTTTTCTATATTTGAAATTGGGGTAGATATTTGGAAAAACAAACACTTAAACAATTACATTACGTTGAAAAAGGAATAACTTACTTCGTTCATCGTGTATCTTTGGAGAGCTCACATGAACAAATGAAAAGAAAGAATAGCTTTTTTTCACATCACATGTGATTTTAATGGTAGATTGAAGTTGAAGTAAACATTAAAATTTTAAAGTTAAATTAATAAAAATATTCATAAATTTAGTATTTAATACTTTTAAATTTATTTAAAAATTTAAAGGGTCGTTCATCCAATCATCCAAAAATAAATAAATTAAGTTAATATTTAATTAATTTAAGTATAATAAAATAATTATCTTTCACTTTAAATTCCGTAAACTAAAAAAAACTATTAACACAAATCTAACTCTGGTGATCTCATTCATTTTACTTTTTCACAAAAAAATAATAATAATAATAAATAATAATAATTACAATTAACAAAAAAAAGGTGAAAAAAGGAAAATAGTGAGTGAATTTAAAAAGTAAAAAGTAAAAAAAGGAGGGGTAAATGATGAATTAAAAATGAAATTCACTTCTTTTTACAGCGGAAAAGCAGAAAGGCATTGGCAGCTATGTTTTTACTCTGCCCAATCAAATAAATTATAAAAAACTAAAAAAAAAGTAATAAATTATAATAAATAACCATGGACTCTGAATGCATCTGGCTTACTTTTATTTACTTTCAGCCATTCAAGGCTTCTGCTTTCGTTTATTAATAACCCATTAATTTCTTTTAATAAAAAAAGTACCATATTCCATTTACTTTTTTATAAATTTATAAAATAAATCCAACAACCTACAAATTCATATCACCCGATAACTCGACTAACTCGTGTTGGATGATGAAAGTCCCACATCGGCTAATTTAGGGAATGATCATGGGTTTATAATCTAAGAATACACTCTCCATTGGCATGAGGCCTTTTGGGGAAGCCCAAAGCAAAGCCATGAGAGCTTATGCTCAAAGTGGACAATATCATACCATTGTGGAGAGTCGTGTTCGTCTAACAACTCGAACTATCTAACTTAACTAAGTTGGGTTAGAATTTTTCGATTTGGGTTAAATTGAATTCTAGAAAAATCGAAAATTCAGTTCAATTTGTAAGTTGACATTTTTTTTTCCTCTATTCAATTCGACCGAACTGAGAATAGGGTTACAACTCGTCCTTGCTTTTTTAAATATTAAGAATATTTAATATTGTAATATTTTTAAATATATTTCTTTTAAATAAATTTTTAATTTTTCAAATTTCATGAGAAAAAAATAATATAATATTTAACCTAATCAAATTAAAAAAAAAAATCAATATTTTAATTATAAGGATAAAAGAGTAAATTTGAATTTAATAAAAAAAATTTAAGCATTTAAATGAGTAAAAAAAAAGTATATGAAGATGGGACAAGCGGTTAGGTGAATGCAATGAAATTAAATAAATAACCATGTCATGATGTCACGTACATGAATTTGTACCATGTTTTAAATATGAAATAATATAGTTGGCAACAACTTTACTTATGATAACACTTTATTTTATTTTATTTTATACATTAAATGATCACCAACACGAGCTTCGTTTCACAACTATACTAAGAAGAGAGTAGGTTGTGACTCTCATATAGAGAGACAAAGCAACGGTCCTTACGTGACACTCATTCATCCACGTGACGGTCAAAATAAGCAAGTGTCATGATGCGATCGAGAAGGATGGTGAATAATTCAAACACAGTGTATGTAAAATGTGCATTGAAGCCAAGATTAATGAATATTTTGTATTATTGGAGATATTTAGTCTTTCATTATGGTTTACCATATGTATCATATTATAATGTATCCATTTATTACTCTCTCGATTTCCTTTGTAATCCATTTGATTATCAAAATAATTTTAGAGAGAGAACTTTCACCACCATTTAGGTGTGGTTGTTTTAGCAAATATTCTCATGCTATTGCTATTAGAGCTGATTCGGTTTAGCAACCTCGATCATTTCTTCTCCAGGGCTTCCGGATCCTCTTCTCATCTTCTTCCTTTCAAGACTCTAATCCATATGATCACCATTAAGTCTTCTTCTTCCAATTATCTTCTTTGGAAAAGTCAACTTCTCCCTCTCCCTCTCCGTGAGAGTCAAGACATGTTGGGTTACGTTGATGAAACTCTGGTCTCACCACCTTGTTTTGAACCAGCGAGCTCCACAACACTCGCACCAAATATGTGTTGTGGAAAGCAGTCGATCAGCCACTTCTCTATCTTTTGCTCTCCTCAACAAAGATGAGACATAACATTATTATGATGCCATACGGTTGAAAATATACGACTGTGACTTAGCTCAACTAGTTAAAGTTTGCCATCAACCAATAGATTATAGGTCAAATCCCCTAAACCCATCTCTCAACCATTGGAGAAATTATTCAAAGAATCCACCATAATGATATTGATAATTTTGCACGGAGAGAAATTGTAAAAGTACCTCACTTTTATATCTGGAGTTAGTAGGAACAGACAAATTTTAAGATCTATATCGAACCATTTTAAAAAGATAATCATATTATGACAGTTCTATTAAATGATTTGTGATACCGTATATGATGAAACTAAAAACATTAACTATCTCTTGTCGGGTATGAAAAATGCTTTAAAAAAAATGAAAGGCGCAGATTTATTGATTGGGAAAACGAAAGAAGGCACCGACATCGAAAAATAATAGAGAATATGAGATTTAGGGACAGAAAAGAAAGGGTCTCCCCCACAAATATTAGTTGGTTGAAAGAAGGCTTTCATAGCTGACTCTATGCTGCAACTTGCATTCACATAAATATAAACCATCTCTCTCAAACTCTCTTTTTAGTGGGCTTCTTATATGCCATTACTAAATATTAATTCCGACTCATATTTGTTTCTAATAACGGATCGGTTATTGTTTAAAGTTTGTTGACTTCGTAAATCAGGTGAAGGAGAAAGAACCAAACAAACATCGACATCTTCTGTTCTTGTATAAGTTCAAGGATAGCACTGGAAGATGCAAATAAAATGCTGATTTTGAAGTTTAATTAGGTTTAGGTTTATAGTTTGGTTGAGTCTTTCTAGGATATGTTCATTTAACTTGTGGAATCGAAACTATAACGACATTCGTTTTGAATATGGTACTTGTTGGAGGAGGTTGACCAAACTATGATAATCTAAGCTGGCAAAGCTATTTTAACTCTAACACTTAGAACAATAACACAATCACACAACAAAGTAATGAAAAACGAGGCTGACCATCTCCTCTATCTATTCATGGATTAGGTTATTTTAGCTGTAAGATAACTCAAACAATCAGCTCATCGACGCAGTTGAGGAACTTGAAGCTGATTAAAGAGTTCAACCTATATAAGTGATGGATTCCATCCCGTTCACAGTTAAAAAGTGTTAAATTTGTCGATCGAAAAATTAATTAGATTAAAATTTAAATCCTTCCCATTAAAAGATTAGAAAATTTTGTTTTCGAAATCAACCGTTTATTATAAAAACAATATTATAAGTTTGGTGACGCTTTTAAATAACTTAACTTAAAGACATTATAAAAATAAAACTTTAGGGGAAAAATTAATATTAAAGTAGAGCTATGGTTAATTAAATATAATACTTTGTTTTTTTTAAAAGAGTATAATAATGAAATTACTATGTCACGCCTAAGGGAATAATGCCTTTAATCACGCATGAAAGTCACCTCTATTACTTTCTTATACTTAATTTCAACCATCTTAATAAATTTAAAATACTAATTCAACGATTAAGATACGTTTTTATTTAATTAAATTATGAGTTTGAATTATTTATCCGATTTTTTTTTTGATAAATTAATAGAAAATTTGAGTTAATAAACATTAAGCTAGAAGAGAACGTGAACATATTTTTTTTATTCTATATTTGTGGTAATTTTTTAAAATTATCGAGAACTAGTGGTCTATCAAAAGTATGTTTATGTAACCAATGAAACGGTCGGTCAAATTTTGTAACAGTCAGACCTAATTGGTTCAGGTGGTTAATTATTTCAACCTAAGGAATTCTTGTTAAATAATTAACTAAACTCAGCCTAACTATAAAATATTTTGGTTGAATTAGCTCGAGTTATTTAGGTCATTTATTAAATTCGTGACCATCGACTACGCTCTAGGAGAAAAGGTAATTAATTTTAGATATGATGAGAAAATTTCGTATTTTTAAAATTTCTTGTGAAGTCCTTCACCTAAGACTTCTAACACCTTTAAATTAAATTGCTTCATTTCTCTGTAATTGCATTTTGCCCCCTCAACTCTTAAATATTTTGCAAATGTTTAGGTACACTTTTTGTTTGATTATCTTGGATTAGATTCCAACCATCTAACAATCTTACAATAATTCATGATTAGATGATGTTAAGTCATGGTCTTAAATATTTAAGAATAACTATAAATATAAAATTAAATTATATATATATATATATATATATATATATATATATATATATATACACGTATATAGGGATGTACGTGAATTGAGTTTGTGAAATTTTTTTGGCCGAACCCAAAAGTTCATTGAGTTGTGACTTCAGCAACACCAACAGAGTTTACAATCCAACCTAACTAAATTCTCTATTTCTGTAATAATAATAATATATATATATTCCATCCATAACTAAATTTCATAAAACTCAAATATAGAACATTCCCAAGCCACAACATATCATTAACATCGTTTACAAACATCAAATATTCGTAATCTTTGTAACAATCTTAAAAACATGATAGATTTGGTTGGATTGTATCCCTATTTTCGAGTTGATCGAGTTGACCCAATAAAAAAAAATGTCAAACCAACCCAAAATTTTTAATTTTCTAACCATTTAACTTAATCGAGAAAAAAAATCTTAAACCCTATCGTGTAAATTTTAATAATCCTATTAAAATTTTAGGTGTTGTCGAGATCTTTTTATCTTAGGAGAGAGTCATTTTAAATTTAGAGAGTACGTCACTGGTTAATTTAATTTGTAACTTATGAAATATCATTTAAAAATAATCAAGGAACCAACTTCATGATCAATGATTATAAATAAAATAATAATAACAATAGAAAAGAGACAAAAATTATAAATCATATCTTTAGTGGTTAAGTGTTCGGATAATTGTTTGTGGCTGACAGCCCCACTGATGACGACTAAATGAAAGCTACTGTAGCACTCTCTTCGGTCAAATTACAAAAATACCCTTTTATTTTTTTCTAATGAAATAAAATAAGCTCACAAAATTTATCAATTAAAACATAATATTACAAAAAAAAAAAAAAAAAAAAAGTGCTAAAAAAGTCACTTTATTATTTATTCGAAAAAAAAAATTGTTATTAATTCAAGATTGATGAAGTAGGGTGATTATAAAATAGGAAAATTAAGAAAATAATAATTTAAATATAATTGAAGAAAAAAAAAAACAATTAATTATTGATGGATAGACATTGAGAGCATAGCAATGAAGCTTAGTCTACAAGGGGAAAGGGGCTCTAAGAAAGGTACTCTTTTCTAAAAAAGAATCATGAGCTAAAGGCTACTGGAGTAAAATTAGGTAGGTTTAATAATCCAAACTTATTCTTGTAACCCTTCCATCTTTCCGTATTTCTCAAGGTTTTATCGAGTTTCAAGTTCTATTTTAGAACGATGAATGTGGAGTACAAGAATTTGAAACTACTAATCTCAAAGAAATGAGTACGTGTCAATTATGGCTAGCATTTCCCTACAACATGGTTGCATTACTTCTCGTTTCTAAAAATGAAAACGGTCTCCACATACCCTTTTTCAGGAGGTCACCCAACATAAAATTACATCAAAATAAACTTAACTTCAAAATTCCTAGGATTGAAATATTGAAAAGGAAGGTGTACCTTATTGATATAGGTAGAAGTATTGAAAAGGAAGGTACACCACATGCTTCTATCCAA